CACAACCTTCCAGACATAGATGGGGCCCGATGTCACCACCGTAGACTGTACAGCATAGATGAGCTAGTGTCGAGAAAAAGTTTGTGAACCCCAATGATAATTACGGAAATTCCAGAGTTTTACCATGATAGCCTTCTTGAATCAAAACCCAGTCTTTTCTTAAATATCTAATAGGGTTTATATTAACCAATTCCCAAAAAAAATCTCTTTATGACCTCAAAAAAAGGTATTGATGCTCATGAGTCTGGAAAGGGTTACAAAACCATTTCTAAGGATTTGGGGCTCCACCAATCCACTCAGACAGATAGTCTATAAATGGATAAAGTTCAAGGCCACAGTTACTCTACCCATACCAAAATCTCTCCAAAGAACAAACCGGAAAATCATCAAGGAAGCCACAAAGAACCCCAGAGAAACATCCAAGGATCTGCAGGCCACTCTCAGGCTTGGCTGTGAGTGTTCATGACTCAACTATCAGAACAAGACTGAACAAGAATGGTGTTCATGGAAGAATAGCAAGGAGAAAACCACCGCTCTCCAAAGAGAAAATTGCTGCCCGTCTGAAGTTGGTCAAAGAGCACACACATGATCCACAAGACTTCTGGAACAATGCTCTCTGGACAGACGAATCAAAGTTAGAACTGCCTGGCCTCAATGAGAAACGTTGTTTGTCGAAAACCAAACACTGCTTTCAAACAGAATAACTTAATCACGTCAAGCATGGTGGTGGGAATGTTATGGTTTGGAGCTGCTTTGGTGCCTCAGGACCTGGACAGCTTGCATCATTGACACAATCATGAATTCTGCATTGCACTGAAATATTCTAGAGAATGTCAGGCTATCCGTCCGTGAGCTGAAGCCGAACCGAAAGTGGGTCTTGTAGCAAGACACTGATACTAAATATACAAGCCGATCTACCAAACAATGGTTGTAGAAAAGATTTCCCGTTTTACAACGGCCTAGTCAAAGTCTGGACCTAAACCCCCCTCAAAATGTTGTGGCAGGACCTGAAGCGAGCTCTCCATGCAACCCAACAAATGTCACCGAGTTGAAGGAATTCTGTAAGGATGAATGGGCCAAAATTCCTCAAATCCGATGTGAGAGACTGACCAAAGGTTACAGGAAACGCTTAGTTGCAGTTATTTCTGCTCACCAGTTACTGAATCTAAATGTTCACAAACGTTTCCACATGGTTATTGAATGTAGAATCATAGAGAATAATTTGAAGATAAATACATGTTGAAGGACTATCATGTTTGTGTCATTTGTTTAATCAGGTTATCTTTATCTATTATTAGGACTTATATTAAGATCTAATAACATTTTAGGTTTGAAATATGTAAAATGTGAACATCTTAAGGGGTTCACAAACTTTTTCTCGGCACTGTACATTACCCCCAACATGATTTAACAAAAAAACACGCCATCACACCCTAAACCACACTCTCTAAAAAACTGCGCAAGGGGTTTTTGCCATTTAACCTTAAAAACAAAACCCATCCCATTTGTTTCCAGTCAATATTCCACATTTAGCTAAGACCTGCACTGTTATAAAAACGTATGTCACCTTTAGACAGAGGTACTATATGTATACATATCCACGATTTACACTTTCAAAAAGAAACTGGTTCAAAGGTGAAATGAGCCCAAGGTTCTCACGTGAGGGACACAAAGACAGGTTCCCCCGAAACAGACTTTTGGGGCAAGTGCTGTTAGCGAGCACCTACGAAGGCTGGCACAGCACACGAGGTGGGTTGCCAGCACCACGCTCTGCCACCTTTGTACCCCCAGTGGCAAAGTTTACACATCCCACAAGGTACTCATTTAAGGCTGAGTCAACATAGGGGAGGCTCAGGACTGGTTCAGATAATCGTCACTGGTGTTGGCCATGAGCGGGAATCGAACTGGGGTCACTGGGTTTGTAGCGCAGCACGCTAACCGCTGCACTGCCGCTCCCCACATAAGGGACAAAGATCCCCCATATAGCCTGTAACAGACTGTAGGGGCAAGTGCTGTTAGCGAGCACCTATGAAGGCCAGAACGGTACACGAGGGGGTGGGTGGCCAGCACCACGCCCGACCGCCTTTGTCTCCCTAGTAGCGATGTTTACACACCGCACCAGGTACTCATTTGAGGCTGAGTCGACCTAGGGAAGGCCCGGGACCGGTTCAGATAATCGTCACTGGTGTTGGCCGTGAGCGGGAATCGAACCCGGGTCGCCAGGTTCATAGCGCAGCGCGCTAACCGCTACACTACCGCTCCCACACATAAGGGACGGACACACACACACAAGCAACGCGAGTGCACATGTGCGTGCTTCATGAGCCCTGGTAAAGTTTGGTGCCAAACTGCTTTTGTTTTGGGCATCAACACAGTCCGCTCGTGGACGGCAAGGTCAGCGAGGACCTAACAACAGCTGTGACAGGTGCCACAGGCCGGGATTCACTGCCCAGGTCACGACACAACGAGGAACACCACCTCGTCTGCAGCCTGAGACCTGGGAACATCAGTTATATAGCAACAGTCATTTAGAATGGTGGGTATAACTACACTTAATCTAAAATTCACATTTAATAGAAGCACACATTTTTTAAATCGCAGCGCAGGCTCTTGAATGTCTCCGTGTAGTATGCTTTGGTCATTGCGGGAAAATATCTCTAGCGGCTGCCGCCCCCGATAGTGGCACTGTGACCCAGCCAGCACGTTCTAGGAATCGATCTCTGCTTCGCTACATTCTTCAGATCGGGTTTAAATGTTGTCGGCTTCATGTTTTTGCTTGCGAAATGCACCCCCCCTTCCCACCCTCTGTATGTCTGACCAACGTTTAAACCCTGACCAGCTCCTTTGCAGTGCCAAACGTATAAAGATTTAAGCTGGAATTCTCTTTTTAAACGGCTAAACGATTTACAACATCAACCACAAAACAACATTTTCCCCAATGCATGTTTTGCCTCTCACACGAGTGAATAAGTAGGTGCATATTTCAACAGGCGTCATAGGTATATGCTTTCCCAGGTATTTGGTCAAAGTGCCGACTGCGAGTCCGTCGCGAAACGTCACAACAGGTAGTGTTTAAAAGGGTGTGCAAATTAGTCTCGCTAACGGACGCAACAAATCACACTGACGCGATCGAGATTTCTATAACCTAGGTTAACATCTGGGCTGCTACACAGCGCAGGGTGGCCCAATCTTACCAACGATATCGCGGGATTTTAACATCTACACAGCAGACGGCGGCGCACTTTTGTAATAACCGACACAATTGATTAAGTGGCGGTGAAAAAAACATTACCGTGTGCAACTGCCTCAGGGGGTGAGCACTCTGACCGCTTTTCCCCACTCCCCTACAACACCCGCCAGCCACAAGTGTGAAACAGACAGGTTGGGTGCCTCACTAAGCTCCGGCCACCACTAGCCCACCGTCACGACCACCCCTCTCTCAAAAAATCACATTCTGTATGAGCATGATAACAAATTCAATCAGGAGAGCCTCGCAGAGTCTTATGAGTTTAACAAAATCAGTGTCCAGATAAACGCTCCACATTCGAGGGGAGAATGCTCAAAAAAACCACAAACCTCCTTGCTGCACACAGGACAGATGCAGCAGTAGCGCAGCCACCGCTGTCAATCAAACCACACATCCTGCTCACGACGACTGTGAGCGCAGACCTCAAATTAACGGACCATATGTTGAAAGAGACCACTATAAATGAGAACGGTAAGCGAGAGGCAGCAACTGTACGGGTAAAGTATGACCATGATCACAATTACCAGGAGGTAAAGTAGCATCGTGTTAGTGTTGGTGAGAAGTGAGCCAGCCACTCCACTCTCGGAGACCAGGCGAGCCAGGAAGGGGTCCACTTGGCTTGTTACCCTCACACCGGCTCAACGATTACAACCGCTCCTCATGCTCACGACACACACATACGTTTTGATTTGTATACAGTGTCACATAAATCCTGTAGATACCAGAAGCTATAGACAGCACATTCACCACAACGGTCGCGATTCAATTCAAAGGCTTTGATTGAACCGCGTCCTGGAATCGTGGCAAATCATCGCGTCGCAGGGGGGATGACAACCGTAACGCGGCGTGAGTTTGGGGTAAAGAGCGGAGTCCCTACTCAGCCACACGACTCACACCGGCGTGCACCACGGTGCTGCGTGCGGCAAAGGCTTCGGGCCCACAGCGAAGTGACTTGCGTTCAGTTTGGTAAAAACAGCGTTGTTCTTAACGTTTGAAAATACCGCGACGACACGTGCGATGAACTCTGCATGTGAAATAAATAATACACTCCCTTTCATAAAATCCCACTGCATCTTGGCATGGGAATAACAATAAAAGCTGGCTGCCAATTATTTTAAACCAACGTGACCTCAGGCCGGCCAATAACACAAGGTGCCGTAACCTCATTTTCAAACTGCCTGTGAACAAAAATCTACGCTTGAATTTAAAACGTCGATGTGGCAACGCCCAACAAATTGGGATGCAGGATTTTAAGAGATAATCTGATAGCGATCCAATGAATTGTCGCGATTCTGGGGCACAGTTTGAAGTCGATTCTTTTTGGTTTGATTTTTAACATCTCATTTGTATTGTTTCTAATTTTTTTGGTCTTCCACAATAGCTTTTTTGGGTTATTTTGCGTAAATATATAAATGTTAAAACCCGCCAGCACCCGACACAGCCAACTAGTGAGGGTTGTCACGTAAACAGAACGTACCAATTACGTCACTAGTACAGCACTAACCGGTGTGTTGGAGATCCAAGTCACAACATTTACAATCCGAGTACTACGTTTCGCCAGTAATTACAACGAGCTTCATCAGGCGACAGTCATATTTGTGAAGTCTTAACTGTTTCGTTCCTTATATAGAGGCGTGGATGTGGTGACCACGCTTCTGCGCTCTTGAGTAAAGTGGGGGGGGGGGTGATTACTGAGGCAACGAACATTATGCATGTGCATTATCCGAGCCCTTTGATCTTGTCCTTCCTGTCCATGGTGTGTATTAAAATAGCCGTACTAACGGTAATACCTATTGAAGTATGCTGCCCTTTATAGGCATGCATTTAAATGATGTATTCTTTGATGATTCGCTTTTACGCAGCACTAAGGCCGTAGCTATCCAAACAGTTCAAACAATTTTTCTTTCAATTTCGATAGATTCTCTAATTATCAAAATCAATTGTGTGTCCTTGTTGGCACGCGTGTTCTGCTACTATTATGGATGATAGTGGTCGTGAAAGCCTGTGTTAAACTTTTTTGGTCTTGTTTGTAGTTTTCTTGTTCATGCTATTACCATTAATGTAACATCAGGATTTCATTTGGACATTTTATTTTCTGAAATTGTAAATAACAAATTCTCACTAGTGCTATTCAATGCAGATACACGCGTCATGAGCATGCGACTCAATGCATCGCTATATTCCGACCAACGATGGAAGGAAACCGAAAGATATCTGCACCATTTACCATCGCATTTCGTGCACCCGGCTCGGGTCATGAGCTAGTTCTCGCCGGTTCGACTCCCAAACCTCACGCCCATTCGACTCTCAAACCTCGGCATGAGAGGAACCAACCGAACGATACACACGCTGAATAGAACCGCACAACACACGGTCTTGCTCCCCTCAAACCCACTCGCTGGGAAGACTCCTCGCAGGGTCACGTAAAGGCAGGACACCTTCCATTCCTACTTTTGGAGAGAGGGGCAAGTGTTACGATGGGGCCACCTTAATTATGAGAATTCATGGGACCCATTGGCTACTGAACATAGATACTCCTAACTTCGACATTATCCACACACACCTACCCTTTGCTCACTCACCTAGAACTCCCTTCTCATGCTCACTAGCTCACTTATTCACAATCACACTCATTCACTCACGCACCCACCACTCCATTCGCACACTCACTCTCATCTTCATTAATTGCCTCACTCAGGTGGGGGCAGGGGGAGTGGGACAGGGGTGGGGAGGGACAGGTGATCGAGGATCGAGATGTCTTCGTCGAATGACCCCGGGGTTCCGAGTGAGGAGGTGGTGGCGCTGGCATTGAGGGCACGGCAGCCGCTCTTCTGGTGCTCATGCAGGCGACAGCGCACAGGGAACCTCTTCCCGCAGGCGTCGCACATGAAGAGGAAGACACCCACGTGCAGCAGCGCGTGCTTGATGAGGTTGCTGAGGAAGGTGGACTGCAGGCCGCACACGCCGCACACCAGCGACACCGTGTCTACGTGCAGCCGCGCGTGCTCCCGCAGCGCCGCCATTGTCTTGAGCACCGATATGCCGCAGGTGCGGCACGCCACCACCTCCCCCGCCGCCGCCGCCGCCGCCTCGTCGGCGGCCCACGCCGACTTCGCGCGGCCGGGCGGGCCCCCGGCCTCGCCCCCCCCCCGCGCCAGCAGCTGCTTCAGCTTCTTGCAGTGATGCTCGCGGTGGAGGTTGAGGCGTGTCTCCGACACGAACTGGCGGCGGCAGTCGTGGCACTGCAGCACGGCGATGCCTGTGTGCACCACCACGTGCTGCATGGCGTTGCTCAGGAGGCTGAACTTTTTGCCGCACACGCGGCAGCTGAGAGTCGCGCGATCCAGGTGCACGGCACGCGCGTGCTCGCGCAGGGACGTGTCGTTCTCGCCCACGAACTCCCCGCACGCCTGGCACTGCAGCTCCTCGCCGAAGCCGGCACCGCTGCCGCCCAAGATCGCGTAGGGTGGCGCGGTGCCGTTGCCGGCGGGCGGCGCCGTGCTGTCCCCGCCCGGCGGCGGTGTCTCCGCGGAGGCGCCGTTGTAGTCACCGTTGCAGTCGTCGTCTCCGTTCTCCGAGGCTGAGAACGGCTCCTCCTTGACGTCGAGGAGGAGCGGGGTGCTGGCATCGGCGGCGTCGCCCCCTTGGTCTCTGGGCACGCTGCGACATGCGGCCACCTCCAGCTCCCTGTTCCACATCCGATGCTTGATGGTGGCGGTAGCGGTGACGGTGGCGCACGCCTGTCGGCCGCTCAGATCCACGGCCGCCGTCGGCGCCTCCTGCGTTTCCTCCGCTCGCTGCATCTCAACGACGCTCATCCTGACATCGGAGCCCTCGTCCGACTCGCCGCCGGCGCTGCCGTCCCCCCAGTCGTCCGTCTCGGACTTGAAGGGTCGGCAAGCCTCCTCCAGGCACTCCAGGCCCAGGTCGAGAGCGGCGCAGTAAAGGCCACGCATCTCATCGCGGCTCGCGCGGATGCGGCCCTTGTAGATGAAGTCGACAATGAGCTCAAAGGTACGGATAGAGAGAAAGTCGACCACGAAGGGCCCCATGCTGCTGCAGGGCGCGCTGAGGAAGAGGCTGCGGAAGTAGCGGCACGTGCTGCTCAGCACGGCCTTGTGCGCCAGGTATCGGCAGCTCTGCACCTCTACCACCACGTCGCAGAAGGAGCCGCGCTCCCGCAGTTCGCACAGCTCACGCAGCAAGTCCGATAGCTGCTTGTTGCTTGCCAGCTGGAACGTCTCCTCCTCCGCTCCATCTGCTCCCTCCGCCATGGCTACCCGCTCCGCTTCACCACATCGACCCGCACCCGTTTCTGCCGGCGTCTCTGCCAAATGTCATCGAGAACGGTGACGGGATGCACACAGAGACGCAGATTAACAAAGGAGGAGGAAGTGGAGACACCTGGATCATGGGACACACGATGCAGAAGGCAGGCAGTCTCACTGGCGTCACAGCTATGTACGTCAAACCGTTTATTAAACGCCATAAGCCAACTTATCTTTACAGCAGGAACCAATGACAAGTCAAACAGAATGAGACCATTGCTCACCGTGCAGGCTGCCTAAGTGAAAATCGTGCAACTAATGATGGATACATGGAACTACGCCACTTGAAAGCTGGATGTAAAAGAGACAAGATGTCCACATAAGGGCAGTGCGTACCATTAATAACATGAACATGACAGCGGTAAACGATTAGGACGCGTGTAAGATATGCGTGACCATTGGTATAATTAAGTGTTTGTTTTTACTTAGGCACGGTGCATCACCCAATTCAGATAGTAATTCAAATAGACATACATTGTTCACTTTTCTTAATATTGCATGTCATATTTGCTGAAACTACAATAACTGACCGTTAGTATGCTTTAGAAAGACACTGTGATGTTGCTTAATTAGTGTGGAAATTCCCAGCTGTAGGGCCCTGTATTCATGCATGTTAAGGTGGATATTCAGACAGACCTAGGGGCCTGTTTTAACCTCGGTCTTTGTACCATTTGCACGGTGAATTAGTGTTACTGATGAAACGCTCCATTGGGTTTGTTTCAGCAATAGCTTCTCCCTTGTGCGGACCTGTGGTGTTCCCAGCATGTCGGCCTCCCTTGAAAAGCAGACCCGTCCGTCCTGTCATCTCAACGGGCTCTCACCTGCTTGATTAATATGGCGACTTTTTTAGTGGTGGGGGTCTCCCGTGGTGGTGGGTCGCTCTCACGCAGAGTGCGCGGTGTGCCTTACAGACACCGCTGCCGTGCCCTGTGAACCGGAGACTCCCGTTACCCACGGCGCGCACTACACTTCGGCCCCGGCTACAGGCACCGAGGAGGAGCGTGACGATCACATTCCCCCCTCTCTATTTGGGGAGGTTCCTACAGGAGGGGGAGATCAGTTAAGAGCCAAACTCCATGCTGTGGTTCTCACAATTCTAAGCAGAGAGAGATTTACATCAACACACAGCTGCTCCGTTTACCAACATCTAGGTCCTCCGGATACTCCAGTTTGGTCTCACGTGAAGCCAAACGCTCATGCATAGGATTGGCCATACATCCCAATGGAGCAGTACCCTCCTGAAAAAAGAGAATTGAGATTTGTAGGTTTTCCTTGGTAAATAAACCACATCATACAAACCCGACTTCACTCGCAATGAGCAACTGTGCTCTTTCCAACAGGTGAGTTTGGAACAGGTGCGAAGGACGCACTGCCAATCAAATACATTAGATTAAAACTATCAAACATATATTGGTTCAGATGACCAGAGCTCTGAAGACCTGAACTGATTAAAACATGAGGCAGCTGACATCTTTGCTTCAACATCAAACGCCCCATGACACAGCACCAGACGTCACACCACACATCAACACTGCATTATTAAAGGCTCTACGGTGTAACACTAACCTACAATTCAGCATGCAAACACGTATCCCATATTATACCAAGTGAATTATCCACACACTGTGCAAGGCGTCCACTGTTGGGCCCAACTACAAGACGTGCAAGTGAGATTCCCTTCAAATCGGAAGACAAAGAACCAAAGAGACGTAGAAGGGAAACAATAAAATAATACAATTAATTTTATTATTTTATTGTTTCCCTTCTATTATTTTATTGTTTTCCTTCTACGTGACTTTGGTTCTTTGTCTTCCGATTTGAAGGGAATCTCACGTACACGTCTTGTAGTCGGGCCCAACAGTGACTTTACCAAAAGAACCAAGAATACGAATCCCTGCAGTCACGAAAGCTTTAAATAGGAAGACAAAGAACCAAGTTAAATGTGAAATCCTCTGGAGTGCCACTACTTGTGGCTTCATGCAGCTGAGGCATGTGATCCCTGGAGTGAAATCACGTGGAGTTGGGCAGGACACTTGGACTTGACACCGCACACTTTGCGTATTGGAGCCCCTTTCAGAGCCCAGATTAAGAGCGTGCATGCGTTAAAGTTGCCCGGCTTCAATGAGCCAACCCGGATCAGCTGACTTGGAAAGGCACTTAAAAAAAACGTGCAGCTGTGAGTCTGATATTTCTCAGGCTCACAGTCCGAACCCACACCCCGGGCCAAATGCCACGACAACATTTGACCCCATCACTGTCACCACAGGGAGGGTGCAGTGAGCTACAATCAGCACTTTTGAGCAGGAAAAGGGTGACACAACAATAAAGCACGAAGGGAAAAAGCAGAAACATGTTATGATGAACACATGTACGTGCATTTGTGACTCTCAACGAGGACGCTCACTTGAAAGTGCAGAGATGAGAATGTTGAGATGGAAGTTGGATATACGTCAAGGAAAAGGCGACAGAATGAATAAGTTATCGTCTCAAAAGGGATTTACTAATTCCTGACAAGGCAAAGGAGGCGATAATTAGATGGTGTAGGCACGCGTTGAAAAGCGACAACAAAGACGCTATTAGAAAGGAAATGGAAGTTAAGACACCCATTGACTAACAACACAGAGACTCATGGACTACCATCATCCACCTGATGCCAATCCAGTTCGTTTATGAGCTTTGAACAGGTATTTCAAAGGGCCCTACCACCTGAAGTGGCAAAACAGGTTGTGTTTTTGGCGAACGCCTAACACTACAGAATATATTTTGATGTTATAACTGTGAAGGTACTAATATGAACAATCCCATACTACAGTAATATAATAACACAGAGGAATTAAACGGTTACTTTCATTTACTGCATCCAACTGCTGTGTAACAATAATCACTACCAATGGCGGAGCCAGGATTTTCAGGTAGGGGGGCAACCCCTCCAGCAATGAAAATTGATAGAGGAGTTGTTAGTAAGTAAGGACTTGTCCCTTGCTTTTTATTCAACGCGTTTGCGGCGATGGCGCGGCGATGGCGCGGCGATGGCGCAGCAATCGATCGAGGGTCGAATTCGAACCGCGTTGTGCGATCGGCATCGCGCTCGCTGAAGGTGAATGCCCTCAGGGAAGTCGTGTCCTGTATACGCAACTGCGCACAATTATGAGTCACTTATAACTGCTTTGCCGTTACTTATTGCCAATTATGGACTCAGACTATTGTCATATCATCTCATAGAGTCCCTGGCACATAATAATATGCTACACAGTGGCAATGGGGGTCGCAAAATGCCGATTTATTACTAATAAACTCCAATGATCCGATCAAAATTAGGGATTTCGATCGGATCATTGTGGGGGTCACGTGCCACCCCCCACTGGCTCCGCCAGTGATCACTACGGCTATCACGGTCGTGGGGGTTGTTTAACCATAATTCACTGTTGGTTAGTGCGGGTTGGTAAAGGGGGAATAAGGATCAGTTCAGATGACTGGCCTTTGTGAGCCTTGGCCAGGATTCTTACCAGGAGAAAATATATAATCCTAATGATGGCCAAATTAAATTCTGTGACAATTAAGCTGTGTGCCATGCTGTGATTCAGTTAATGTAGAAACTACCAAACTGAATTTAAGGGTCTTGATTTGAATTTAAGGGGTATATGATTCGATGAAAATTAAAGCTCAGGATTTGGACAGAATGCAGGAAGTTTGAGCCAAAGACGTGAAAATGGGCAAACAACTAAATAAGATAAAGTAATGATACCACAAACGTTTTAGCACTTCCAAGTTGCAACGGTTCTTATACTGCGCCCGTGGACCAGCTGTGTGAGACCAACTCCACTGGGGCTGAGAAGCACGAGCTTGCATCCCTAAGTGGCCAAATGCCATGCTGCTCGCGGCCTGGCATTAAACAAGCAGCGAGTGAGTCTAATGGCCTCGCAGTGAGAGCCACACACCGCCTTGCGCGCGGCTGAGAGCGACTGCGGGATGGTAACTGCAGACATTCTCTTTGGTTCTATTCGGTAAAGTCACGTCGGTAAAAAACGAAACAGCAGACATTGGCAGGCAGCAGGCACCATGCCACCGAGTCCCCATGGGGCCAGGTCACCCTCCGTCTCAAGTCCCCCACGTTACCCTTTGTCACAGCTACCCCATAGCACGTCCCCCTGAGTCTGTTAGGTTTCCCTCGGCACCAAGTTCCCTGAGTGTCATGGCTAAATAAATCACTTGTCATTATTCATTTAATATTGTTTCATTATTATCTTGTCGACCGGATAAAGCCGCCCGAGTCTCATGGCCCTTTTTCTGGGGGATTCTGTCAAGTTAGTTTTTTTTGCAATTGGGGGCGATGATTGGCATGTACAGTATATTCCAATTTTCAAACTTAGCAAATTCGGAACGACCCCGGCACTCAATTGCCTACCTACTCTTGTGAACGATGCCACGGTATCATTCACTAGGAAGCAGAGAGCGGGTAATATCACTTAGTGATAACCAGGGCGGCCGCTGGATTTGAACCGTAAGCCTCTGCAACCAGGCGCCGAAAGTTCGAGGTTACCCCGAGTCCAAGGTTCCCTTTCGTCGCATGCTCACCAGGATCCCCTCCGGCCCAGATTCCACTCAGGCCTAGGAACTCCCCGAAGTCTCTTGTTCCACAAGTTTTACTCTCGTCTCGTGTTCCCCAGATGGCTGTTAGCTCCAGGGTCACCCTTAGTCGCACCGGATGCCCCAGCCCACCTACCCCAACCCCCTTAGTCCCACCAGATTCACCAGGCCCTCCTCCTCTCCTTTGAGTACCAGGTTCCCCCGGGGTCGGTCTCCCCTCGCGCGAGTTGATCCCCGCATGGCCGCCGCGCACTCACTTACCCCGCGGTGACGCTCCTGCTGCTTGCTGAAACCACGCAGCTTCACACACGAGTTCTGTTGCGGCTGTGTAAGTTATACTCACTCCGCCTCATGTGTGAGAGCTGTGCGTTCACTCCGTGGCGGCGGGCAGGCTACGGGAGTTGCGCTCTCGCACGGCTCTCGTGTTCCCGCTTCCCTCCGCGGACCCCGCCAGCGCCTCCTCCTTGCGACCCCGCTCCGCCAAGAGTCGCGGCCCGCCCGGCGTGACGTCACCGCGAGCACATTGTGGCCATCTTGGTAGAGGAAGTCCCAGCGGGGGGAGGGAGGACCTGCGCACACCCCCCCTGCGCACACCCCCCCTGCGCACACCCCCCCCTGCGCACACCCCCCCCGCTGCTCCCCCCCCCCGCTGCTCCCACCCCCCCCGCTGCTCCCACCCCCCCCGCTGCCCCCCCCGCTGCTCCCCCCCCCGCTGCCCCCCCCCCGCTGCCCCCCCCCCGCTGCCCCCCCCCCGCTGCTCCCCCCCCTGCTCGTCCTTCTCCCCTCCCCCCCCTGCTCGTTCTTCTCCCCTCCCCCATGCGGCCTCATGGGGGTGAGGGGAAGGAGCGGTCACGCGACGACCGCGGGGCCGTGACGTCACACCCCCACTCCTCCCCCCACCTGGCCATCCACCGCGGCACGCTGCTTGAGTAGCCCCCGAGTAAGATGGCCGTCGAGAGGTTAGGGACGCGTGCCAAGGACCCCCGGAATAGGCGCCCGAGGCGATGCCTGATCTCGTGAGAGGGGCGGGGGGACGCGCGGGGAGAGGGGTGGAGGTTGCGCGCGGTCACGTGTCCCCGCCATTTCGCGTTGAGGTCGCAAAGGCAATGGGTTGACAGCTGTGAGCTAGGAGGGGATGTGAGGGAGTTGATGGGAGGGAGTTGAGATGATGGGATGTGAGGAAGTTGAGATGAGAGGATGTGAGGGAGTTGAGATGAGGGGATGTGAGGGAGTTGAGTTGAGGGGATGTGAGGGAGTTGAGTTGAGGGGATGTGAGGGAGTTGAGTTGAGGGGATGTGAGGGAGTTGAGTTGAGGGGATGTGAGGGAGTTGAGTTGAGGGGATGTGAGGGAGTTGAGATGACGGGATGTGAGGGAGTTGAGGGGATTGAGTTGAGGGGATGTGAGGGAGTTGATGTGAAGGGATGTGAGGGAGTTGATGTGAGGGGGTTGAGTTGAGGGGATGTGAGGGAGTTGATGTGAGGGGATGTGCGGGAGTTGAGTTGAGGGGATGTGAGGGAGTTAGGTTGAGGGGATGTGAAGGAGTTGAGGGGATGTGACGGAGTTGAGTTGAGGGGATGTGAGGGCGTTGAGTTGAGGGGATGTGAGGGAGTTGAGTTGAGGGGATGTGAGGGAGTTGAGTTGAGGGGATGTGAGGGGATGTGAGGGAGTTGAGATGAGGGGATGTGAGGGAGTTAGGTTGAGGGGATGTGAGGGAGTTGAGGGGATGTGAGGGAGTTGAGTTGAGGGGATGTGAGGGAGTTGATGTGAGGGGATGTAAGGGAGTTGATGTGAGGGTATGCGAGGGAGTTGAGTTGAGGGGATGTGAGGGAGTTGAGTTGAAGGGATGTGAGGGAGTTGAGGGGATGTGAGGGAGTTGAGTTGAGGGAATCTGAGGGAGTTGATGTGAGGGAGTTGAGGGGATGTGAGGGAGTTGAGGGGATGTGAGGGAGTTGAGTTGGGATGTGAGGGGGTTGAGATGAGGGGATGTGAGGGAGTTGAGTTGAGGGGATGTGAGGGGAGTTGAGTTGGGGGAATCTGAGGGAGTTGATGTGAGGGGATGTGAGGGAGTTGAGTTGAGGGGATGTGAGGGAGTTGAGGTGAGGGGATGTGAGGGAGTTGAGTTGAGGGGATGTGAGGGAGTTGAGTTGAGGGGATGTGAGGGAGTTGAGGTGAGGGGATGTGAGGGAGTTGAGTTGAGGGAATGTGAGGGAGTTGAGGGGATGTGAGGGAGTTGAGTTGGGATGTGAGGGGGTTGAGATGAGGGGATGTGAGGGAGTTGAGTTGAGGGGATGTGAGGGGAGTTGAGTTGGGGGAATCTGAGGGAGTTGATGTGAGGGGATGTGAGGGAGTTGAGTTGAGGGGATGTGAGGGAGTTGAGGGGATGTGAGGGAGTTGAGTTGAGGGGATGTGAGGGAGTTGAGGTGAGGGGATGTGAGGGAGTTGAGTTGAGGGGATGTGAGGGAGTTGAGTTGAGGGGATGTGAGGGAGTTGAGGTGAGGGGATGTGAGGGAGTTGACTTGAGGGGATGTGAGGGGAGTTGAGTTGAGGGGATGTGAGGGAGTTGAGTTGAGGGGATGTGAGGGAGTTGAGATGACGGGATGTGAGGGGGTTAGGTTGAGGGGATGTGAGGGAGTTGAGGGGATGTGAGGGAGTTGAGTTGAGGGGATGTGAGGGAGTTGAGATGAGGGGATGTGAGGGAGTTGAGTTGAGGGGATCTGAGGGAGTTGATGTGAGGGGATGTGAGTGGAGTTGAGTTGAGGGGATGTGAGGGAGTTGAGTTGAGGGGATGTGAGGGAGTTGAGGGGATATGGAGATGGGATGTGAGGGGAGTTGAGTTGAGGGGATGTGAGGGAGTTGAGTTGAGGGGATGTGAGGGAGTTGAGTTGAGGGGATCTGAGGGAGTTGATGTGAGGGGATGTGAGGGGAGTTGAGTTGAGGGGATGTGAGGGAGTTGAGGGGATGTGAGGGAGTTGAGTTGAGGGGATGTGAGGGAGTTGAATTGAGGGGATCTGAGGGAGTTGATGTGAGGGGAGTTAATGTGAGGGGATGTGAGGGAGTTGAGTTGAAGGGATGTGAGGGAGTTGAGGGGATGTGAGGGAGTTGAGTTGAGGGGATGTGAGGGAGTTGAGGGGATATGGAGATGGGATGTGAGGGGAGTTGAGTTGAGGGGATGTGAGGGAGTTGAGTTGAGGGGATGTGAGGGAGTTGAGTTGAGGGGATCTGAGGGAGTTGATGTGAGGGGAGTTGAGTTGAGGGGATGTGAGGGAGTTGAGGGGATGTGAGGGAGTTGAGTTGAGGGGATGTGAGGGAGTTGAATTGAGGGGATCTGAGGGAGTTGATGTGAGGGGAGTTAATGTGAGGGGATGTGAGGGAGTTGAGTTGAGGGGATGTGAGGGAGTTGATGTGAGGGGATGTGAGGGGAGTTGAGGGGATATGGAGATGGGATGTGAGGTGGTTGAGTTGGCTCATCGTGGATTTAGTCAGCATCGCGTCCACTGATCAACAGGCCAATCTTGGTCAGCTTTACAAAAAGTTCAGCTTTACAAAAAAACCTTTACAAATACACGGTGATCTTGTACCATATACAGCTACTGTACCGCATGGGCTGTGAAAGGTAATTTCCCAAAACGTTTATATACTGCATAATTTTTAGGTCCCTAGTGATATTGACGAATGCGTTGAGTTCCAGTGGTGTAGAGAGTTGTTACAATCTTTTTTTTCATCACCAGGAACCGGATGATAACAACGTGTAAAACCGGTTATCAGTTTGACGCACACGTAACAATGTATTGGCATATTCTTGGTTCTTTCGGTAAAGTCACGTGGAAGGGAAATAATAAAATATTGTTTTACTAGTATTACATTATTATTTCCCATCTACGTGATTTTACCGAAAGAACCAAGAATATGAATCCCTGCAGTCACGAAAGCTTTAAATCGAAATTCAACGTATTGGCAGTGAACATCATCGTGTGTGCCCTTTCTCAGTGACACTTAGCGAGTCGCCAGCTGATCTCCAGGCGCGGCAGGTTAAACAAAGGGGCACATTCCTCAAATGCCCCACTCAGAAGCAGTCTGGATGGGTTCACAGTCGATCTGAAAGGTCTCACGTGTGTGGCGGGGTAAGGTGTGGGTACTTGCGACCTACAGTCTTCTCAAGACGTCTGTTTAGCGTGAAAAAGTCGGCGAGATAAGCACTCTGGAGCTCCCTGTCGCGAAGGACCTTCCACCAACAGGGACAGAAGCAAACAAAACTTGTAATGATGTGAACACGAGGAGGAACCACGGACAGTCGGAGTCTGCGCCAAATTCCCCCGAAGCTCTGCGGTACTCTGAAGGTCTGTTCGGTCAATGAATGAGTGTTTACATGTGGGAGAGAAACCGCACACTCGTGAGTGGGCAACATTATCCCCATACATATGGAGCAGGTGGAGTCCACATTCCCTGAACAGCTTGCTGGCGAGCCACGGGAAGCGGAGTTTCGCAAACATTGTGCGATGATCCACAAACCCTCGCTGCATCCATGATGCTGGATTATACGACACGCGCATAGCCACCCAGGGCCAAGTGACGAACCGAAGTCAGTGCAAATGCAACCACACGATGCCGTGTGTGTGTTCGCGAGTGCACTCGTGGACTCGACACGCCACTCAAATTGGTTACTGGTTCCTGACTTGGTATCGGCAACCGATTCTAAAAACGGTTTACCGGTTATTGTTTAACAACCCTGATACGCAGTTGCTATTTGATGTCAAAGGGTAGATGTTGCAGATTTGAGGTAACAAGGTACAGTAAATAATCCGTGACTGGGGGCTTCCGGAGACTTGAAAGCAGAAATCAATAAAGTTGAGAGGTCATTGGAGTGCTTACGCAGTTGGTGCCAGCAAATCGGGCCTCTCAAATTTATTTATGTTACACATTTTTTTTTACATCCTTATGGCTGTCTTTTCCACAATACTTGCAATTATAAAAAAAAATACCTGTCCAGACATGAGGGGTTGTTGCTGGCCATATTTTACGACGCTGATCTGTGCGGGCTGTCGAAGAAGGGCTAGAGATCGGTTCAGAGAATAACCACTGACGGTCAGGCGTGGCAGGGAATCGAACAGAAGTTGCCTGGTCCATAGCGGCAGTGCGATAACGACGACATCACCACTCAGCCCCCTGCAGCATCCAACGGTGGCAATATTTGATTTCCCGTGTGGGAAGAGGACAACTGATTTGCACCTCGAGAGGAGCAGTGCCCTCCAGGCTCCACGTGGGGAAGAACGTGGCTCTCGCCACACACGCGTTTCACAATCGCGTTACATAACGCATGCTGCTAACCGTACACGCACATACGAGGCGCGCACACTTGCAAACACGCGCGCACCACACACATGACACGTGTTACGCAATGCTGACCCCAAGATGACAAAGCAGTTTCGCAGGCAAAATGTGCACTGCTCATAATGTTCTTCGAGGCGCAACCCAGCGAAGTCATCCAGTCAGTGGCCGGGGGCTGATGTTCGATCGAGTCAGAGCATCGAGTCAACGCCACTAACTTGACAAATAAAATCATCGACA